CTTTTTTATTTTTATTCTCATGTGTAAGAAAATTCATCCTCATTGATAAATAATTGTTACATTTTATTACAATGAAAAGCTAACCATATAATCAAAAATTTTTATTCAATCAATCGAAAATATTTGCGAATAGGTGTAGAGAAAAAAGAAGCACAGAATCAAGATTATTCATGCACCTGAAGTCATACACCATAACTGAAGTTAGTCAAGTTTCAGCCCTATTATTCTACAATGTCTTGCTATAAATTACAATTATTGAACATAGTTGTTGATAGGAATTAGCAAAATAGCTGGAACTCGTTTCGTTTAATACTCACCTATTGCGATCTTATGCTAGTGAATGCACTGCTTAGATGTGAAACAGAAGGCAAATTTTTGCTCTTCCGTTCTGTTTCACAATTATGCGGCGTATGACAGAATGAAAAGATTGGATGCTAGTTTGTGTTCTCTCTTGACTTTGTGAGTAAATAATGAAGCATGGTTGATTCATTGAAGAAATTTCCAACTTTCTTCTTTCTGTAATTGAGACTTGTAGATTTTAGTTCGTTATTCAAACATTTGCCTCCCTGTGTCTTTTACTATAGTAACAAAAAATGTCTGTTATCATGCGAATTTTCTTCATCTATATCGCGTTGCTTGTTGTGGTCCATGGTCAAGGTGGTGGAGGAAGTGGTGGAGGGAGTAGTGGAGGATTCAAAGGCTCTTGGTCAAGTAAGTTCATTAGAGAATTTTTGATCCTTATCGTTAAAACCTCTAGAAACTTTCATTTACTTCAACTAGAAACACTGAACTAACTAGTCATGAGACATTTACCCGAATGGAAGATATCTCATCATATCCTGTCGAATTTGTTTTACTAGACTCTGGTAGTTTGATCTGATTTCAGAATCTAATAAACATAAGTTTGACAGTTAGAGACATACTGCACCTCAATAACAAAGGGAAATCGATGATGATCTAAGAGAAATAGCAGAAGAGGAGGCAAGAATCTATCTGATCGTAAATTGGGAATATTTTTCTCAATATTTTTCTGTAATTTTTTTCCAACTTCACGTATTCATCGATAAAAAAAGAAGTTCGTCTAGTATGAGTATATCTGAAAGTGGGAAATTATTTTTCTGCGTCTACTTTTTACTCCCTTGTCGATAACTTCAGACAGGATTTCATCGGGAATCATCGCATTGAATCAGAGAGAAGTTTTTAATCCAAACTAAACTAAACAATCGGATTGATCGTACTAGATACTTTTGTTGAATTCGTTGGTTTGAATAAGTTCGAGCTGCTTTTCATGCCTTGACTGTTGAGTTGAAAGAGCAATGTCGTTTTGGAATTAAACTTCTGTAAACGTAAAACTTTCTTTAGAGATAGCTGTTCATAAACTTCAGTGCAAAGATGAGATTCTATCGTACACAGGCATTTAAACATGACGAAAACAGAGCCTATGTGCATCAGCCTATTGTCATAAAGAAAACTTCGATGTGTGAGTGCATGACTAGTTGTGATTGCTTGCTTTCTTCTTACACATATGCCCATCCTAATCAGAGCGTAGTTGATTGAAGTACGTTGAGTGAAATTCTTGGATAATTGGAAGACTGACATAAATCCAATGTTTATAACTTAGGTTCAAGTGGAAAAAGCAATGCTAGTTGGGGTGAGTATTTTATATGTTTGGGTCTTTGTATTGTCCTCACGATCAGCGGCCAATTTGTATGCGATTGCTTGAAAAATTGCTGGAAAGGTAGGCATGCGTTGTCAAATGAAGACTATGTTAATAAATCGGACGATACTATCACGGAGTCATCACGAGCACCATTCGAATCTGGACTCTGGTTCAGTCACTATTATCAGTATGAAAACTGGCATGGTCCATACTCCCTAAAGCTTATATTTGACTCGGATTCTTCGAAAATCACTGGAAGCGGCGTAGATGACGTCGGCGAGTACTCGATTAAGGGCGTTTACTCAAGAAAAAACAATCGTATTGGCTTAACAAAAACTTATCGAAAGGGAACCGGCGATCCAAAACAGAACCTTGGTCATCATGTGACAATACAACTAGCGTGGAATTCGAGTCTACAACTGTTTGAGGGCAAATGGTACGTATGGACACACAAATACGGCGGACAAGACAAATTCCAATTAAAACTTGTGCAAGGCTACGAAATGAATCTTCTTCAGTGCCGATCTCTTCATGAGGAAAGCCGTCTGATGTCAGATGAATGGATGACTGACAATGAATCCATGGTCGACTCGGATTCAACTCTCTAAAATGAATGGTGATGAACACTAGAAACTATTTGACAAAAACGATCGTCTCAGAAACTCTGTCGATTTCTATGAACTACATGTTTTTATTTATTCTTCAAAGATTCGTTCTCACGCTTTCCTAACACATTTAACATGGTGATTAAATTACTAATCATTTTACAAGAAGGAACAAAAGACATGTTCAGATCTTTTACAGTATGCCTCTTATGAAGAGTGCGAGTGTATCTGTTTGGATATTTTGCTTCAATTGAAATGTTTGTTTCGAAGTATCGGTCAACTTCTCAGGCCAGACCGTCGATTGAATATTCTCTGTATATTACTGTTTTATCTTCGCGGAGAAAACTAGGCAGAGAAGCTAATCGATTGAATTTATTCTAATTATATGCTCAGTAACAATGTCCTCTCAAAATAGCAATAACACATCATTTTTAGTTGGTTGTTGACTGAATAGATGTTTTCCATGGAATTTTGAATTGATGACCTTATGCTTTAATCATTAACTTTAAAAGAAGAACATGTTTCTAATATTAACTACGTTGAATATAAGTTGATGTAGCTGAATAACTATAAAGGCGTCGATGTATGGACAAGATCCGATGTACTAACATCAAGAACTCACTCTCACATTCTCTAACACTCCATATTCCTACCAATACTCACTCATAGGTATATCCTTTTTCATCTGATCCGAGTCGAATATTAATTGATGTATTTATATGATTTCACATGATTCATTCTGAACTTATTTAATCGATATTTATATTTCATGACTATGAACATAATTTTCCTTTTGATTTTGGTGTTTAAATGTCTTTAGGCTTCTTGTTCCCATATAAGTGTACATGTTGGTGTTGAATCATAAATGTCAATTGACAGATGTCAAATTGCTTTACAATGTTCTTGTCCGAATACATAAAAAACAAGAGATTGTGCAAAAGTAGACTATTTTCGAGAATATGAAAACCTATTTATAATTAGCTTTCATATCACTACCTATGAAACGGCAGATCGTATAAACCTCAGGCTAATTTTCGTTTTTGTTTTAACCCTTTGAGGACCGATAGGTTCTTTTTAACCCATCTACTTTTCAGTAAAGAAAAAAGTGTTTAATTCACATTAAACTATTAAATATGTGAGGTCATTAAGGTCATAAACAACTGCATTTGTCATCTCATACTTTTTTTCTTTCTTTCCTTCTGTCATATAAATTCTTTTCAAATATCCTTTGTTCTTGCTGCTAAGATCCAGCGACGTCATAATTTATTCCTCCTTCTCTAATCTTTTTTTTTTCGAGAATACTTTCATTCTCTATTGAATATATATATATATATAACTGTTTTCACTGACGAATTTACATTGTTCTTGAATTTGTAAAGCATATCAATTCTCTTTCGAACTTGTGCGCTCTATTTCTTTATACTGTTTGTTCAATTAAAACTAAAGAAATGGAATTCTATGAAAATGATGAAGTCGAAGAGGAGTGCTGTGATTCATTTGCCAGTGATGATACCAGTGAGAGTGATTTCGATTTCGATTATGATGAACTAGTCGATGATTTAGATGAGCTTGAACTTTCTGATGAAGATTTGGATGTATATACAGAGGAGCTGGATTCAACCAATGAAAGTCATATCACGGATGGCGGCTTTACCTCAATCTCTCTCAAAGAGCGAACTTCAGTTCCAGTCTTTAGGACCTTTTTTACTGAGGAAATTTTAAACCTGATCACTGATCAAACAAACATTTATCGAAAAGGAAAGGAACGAGATAACAATCAGAAGAAAATGAGTAACTGGAAGGATGTTAGCAACAAAGAGATTGAATCGTTTCTCGGATTGACTATTCTAATGGGTATCAATAACTTGCCAAATATGAAACTTAATTGGAGTAAAGATATGATATTCCATAATGCATTTATTTCTTCTATCATGTCAAGAAATCGTTTTCTTCAAATTTTTTATAATATACATTTGGCTGATAGCTCATTGCAACCAAAACGGGTGTGGGTGTGGGTGTGGGTGTGGGGTGTGGGTGTGGGTGGGTGTTGGTGTGGGTG